ACCGACTTTGAGACATATTGTGATGAACACGGTATTTCTCACAACTTCTCGGCTCCTAGAACACCTCAACAAAATGGAGTCGTTGAAAGGAAAAATAGGACGTTGCAAGAAATGTCAAGGACCATGTTGAATGAACACAACCTACCTCAATATTTTTGGGGAGAAGCGGTCAACACGGCATGCTACGTTCTTAATCGGGTATTACTTAGACCTATTATTAAAAAGACTCTCTATGAACTTTGGAAAGGTAGAAAACCAAATATTTCCTATTTCAAAGTTTTTGGGTGTAAATGCTATATTTTGAATACCAAGGATCATTTAGGCAAATTTGAGCCTAAATCAAATGAAGGAATTTTCCTTGGTTATTCAACAAATAGTAGAGCCTATAGGGTATATAATAAATCAAATCATAAAGTAGAAGAATCTATGCATGTAAAATTTGATGAAACCGATCCCTTTGGGTCGAGTAAGGTAATTGCAGGTTCAAATGAAGAAGAAGAGGAAGAGGAAATCCTGGAAATTCCTGCGCAAGAAGAAGAAAGTGCAAAGAAGGAACTACCAAAGGAATCATGACAAGCGAATTTGAAATGAGCATGATGGTGAGTTGAACTTTTTTCTTGGTCTTCAAATTAAGCAACTTGGAGATGGCATTTTCATTAGTCAAACCAAGTATGCCAAAGAATTAGTCAAAAAGTTCAACCTTGAAGATTCAAAAATATATCCAACTCCAATGAGCACATCCTTTAAGCTTGATAGCGACGAAAGCGGAAAACCCGTAAATCAAAAGGTATATCGAGGTATGATTGGTAGTTTGCTTTATTTAACTGCATCTAGACCCGATATAATGTTTTCCGTTTGCCTTTGTGCACGTTTCTAATCATCACCTAAAGAATCCCATTTTAATGCCGTCAAGCGAATTATTCGGTATGTCAAGGGAACGACCAATATGGAGTTATGGTATCCTAAGAATACAAATTTAAGCTTGATAGGTTTTAGTGATGCCGACTTTGGAGGGTGTCGTATTGATCGGAAAAGCACAAGTGGCACATGTCAATTCATAGGTCATGCATTAGTGTCTTGGTCATCTAAGAAACAACACTTCGTCGCCCTATCCACCGCCGAAGCGGAATATGTGGCTATGGGTAGTTGTGTTGCTCAAATTTTATGGATGATGCAAACACTAAGTGACTTTAACTTAAAATTTTCAAAAGTGCCTATTTTTTGTGATAACTCAAGTGCAATAAATATTTCCAAAAATCCTGTTTTGCATTCTAGAACTAAACAAATAGAAATAAGACATCATTTCATACGTGATCATGTTGCAAAGGGAGATATTCAAATTGAATATGTAAATACACTTGAACAACGTGCTGACATTTTTACAAAACCATTAGATGAAAAACAATTTTTACATATTTGTCGGGAAATGGGAATGCTTGAATTAAAGTGAAATTTAATGTTCGTATTATCCCATTATATCATAAAAATAAATTGATCGAGTCCAAATGCTCAAAACACGCGTCAAGAAGTCAAAACAAAACATTAAGCTGAGACACGGTACCCCTGTCGGTACCATGGTCCTGTACAAAATAGGTGCCACCAGAAACGAATGGGATTTTGGAAACTTCACGGTATCTGGACACGGTACACCATACCGTGTAGACGGTACCAAGATACCGTTACCATGGTACCTTGGTACCGACCGTCTCGTCGGGTCAAAACGATTTAAAACCCTAGACCAGCGTCTATTCGGCATCTGCATTGTCTCTCTCCCGGCGACCTCTCTCGTCTCCTTTCTACCGTAAGGCATCCAAGGTAAACATTCATCCAAATTTCATCAATTTTATCATAAATTAAGCTTCAATTTCCATATCCTCTCCTTAATTCGTGCATTAAGTATCACTTTTCCCATTTTTCGTCCAATTTTCCTAATTTTCTCAAAATCTCCAAAATGAGTGAAATTGTTTCAAATGTTCAACCCGATGTCAAAGGTGGGTTCAAGGCTTACGCCGACCCACATATCATTGCGGGGAGAACCCTTAAACAAGATGACATCCCGGTTCCCGTTCTTGAACTAATTCAAGAACAAGGTTGGAGTTTCTTTCTTCAACTCCAAGCCCCCGTTTACCCGGACCTCGTTCATCATTTCTATTCTTCTATGAAATACTATCCCGAAGACCCTTCCATTACTGCCGTAGTTGCTGGAAAAACCTTCGGATTCAACACCCAAAACCTTTCCGAATGGTTTCACCTAGAGCGTCAAGGAGTCTCCACCTATTGCAAAAAGGGGTGGATTACCGACTCACGAGACTTTAACTCCGATTCTTGCCTCCGAGTGCTAAACAACATTGCCCGCAAATAGGTTCATCCTTCTCAAAATCCTCAAAGAAAATGTCATCCCGGTCCTTAACAAAGATAAACAAGTTGGGGTTTATGAATACACTCTTCTATATTGGCTCCTAACTCACAAGAAAATCAATCTCCCTTCCATCATCCTAAAACACATGTACGAATGTTCCGGTCGCCAAAACAAACCCTATGGCATGCTTCTTACCCACATCTTTGCCAAGAGGGAAATTCTTGAGGTGCGCCCTTCTCGTGTCCGCTATCTTGATGTGGAGTGCCTTGGCTATTGTAGCCTTGTGAAGATTGGAGAAGCGTACTACATGAAGAAGGAGTTTCAAAATCTTGATGAAGCTACACGAGCGGAGTATGGCCCTCGACGATCCTTGTCCTCTGTGCCATCTACTTCACGAGCACCCCGGGCCAAAGCCGCAGAAAATGCCAACATGGATGTCCCCGTTCGTGCTCCTAGGGTCAAACGCTCAAAGTCGGCGTCTCATGCTTCTTCGGCCTCTCTATTGCACCGTCACTCTCAAATGGCTTCCACTTCCAAAAACCCCTTCAAGAAGTTCAAGAAATTCATCCTCAAGACCGTAGTGGCTCCGATGAAGAAAATTCAAGAAAGCCTTGATGACCTCTCGGGTCGGATGAAGAAGATGGAGGACCGTGAGAATCGCCAAAAGCAAAATGAGGATCGTGCTTCTAGACGTCGTGCTAAGTATTGAGCATTTGACAAAATGATCAAACATTCACTTATCTATGTTTAAAAAAAAAATTATTATGTATTTTGTTTTATGTTTCAACCTCCTATCATGTCTTATGTTTAAAACTCGTACTTATGCACTTTTATCATTGTTAACCCTTTTATGATTATGCTTATGATCCACTTGAACGCCTATAATTGTTGCCATAATGAATGTCATTGTGTTGAACCTCGTGTTTTTGGTACCCCACCTTCTTGAATGTTGCCAAAAGGGGGAGAAATATTAGGCTTTCATATGCATAAATTTAGGGGGAGTTTTTATCAAAATATCACGTGCATCAACTTAGGGGGAGTTTTAAAATCAATATATGTTTTTCACGATATGTTTGTGCGTTTGATTATTATATTCGAAAGCCTTATTTGTCAACATCAAAAAGGGGGAGATTGTTGGCCTTGAATGCCGTACCCCGTAACCGTTTTGATGTGCCAAATAAGTCTTCGAAATGTTACTAACATCATTTGCAGGAAAAACAAACGCCAAAACCTCTATTAGCTTGTTTAGCATCACCGAGATATACTCCTACGAGTTTAGAAATTGTTGTGTAAAGGTAATGATATATTTTAATGAGTTACTTATGCCCTTTCACTCAAAATTTAATTTTAAAATGACAAATATATTCTTAGTTGGGGTTATTTTGAAAACGGAACACGAAAAACGAGTTTTGGAATTTTTACACAGGCCTAACGGTACCTGGCTACCGTATACACGGCACCAAGGTACCGCCGGTAGCGTNAAAAAAAAGCTTTCATCTTTTTATACACTCACACACAAGGGCATTTGTGCTTCATTATTTTTATATCTTGCCTATAGCCTGTTGTTGTTGATTTAATCTTTTGTTCTTCTCCTACCCAATTCATATTTGTTATTATTTTGGTAGAGAAGCAACACCAATCTTTTATTGATTTGTAAAAGGTGTGGATAGCCTTTAAATCCTCATTGTAAGGTTGAAGATAGCCTTAAAATCTTTGGTTGTAAACGGTTGAGATAGCCGTGGTAAAATCTCGTTTGCTTATTGGCAAGGGTTGTTTGCCAAACCTCGTTTGAGTCTTCTTAGTGAAGCCAAACAAGTTAGTGGAGGTTAAATCCTTGAGGAGGAGCCTCGAGGTACTGGAGTAGGGAGTTCCCGAACCAGTATAAAATCGCTTGTGTCGTATTTTTATATTTTATACTTTTCTTGCTCTTTCTCCGCTACTACTTTGCGCATAAGTTTTTTGTTTTTTTTATTAAAAAATTTGCAAACACCCTAATTCACCCCCCTCTTAGGGTGTAAACCGATTTTCAGGTGTTTGCGCCAGATTCCAGTCCAAGCCAAAGGAGAGTCATCTGATAGCAGCTAAAAGGATTCTTAGATACCTCAAAGGAACTCAGAACATGGGTTTGTGGTATGCTAAGAGCAATACATTTGAGTTGGTGGGATACTCAGATTCTGACTTTGCCGGATGCAAAGTTGACCGGAAGAGTACATCTGGTACTTGTCAATTCATTAGCGGAAATCTTTTTTCTTGGTTCAGTAAGAAACAAAACTCCATCTCTACATCAACAGCAGAAGCAGAGTACATTGCTGCTGGTAGTTGTTGTGCTCAGATCTTGTGGCTAAAGCAACAACTACTCGATTATGGAGTCAAGACAAGAGAAGTGACAATCTTTTGTGACAATCAAAGTGCTATAGCCATCTCACAAAATCCAGTGCATCATTCTCGCACCAAGCACATTGATGTCAAGCATCACTTCATCAGAAATCATGTGGAAAAGAAAGATATCAAAATTGAGTATATCTCAACTGAAGAACAATTGGCGGATATCTTCACAAAACCACTAAGTGAAGCCAAGTTTTCCGATTTGCTTCAAAAAATTGGTCTAATTTAATTAGAGTGAGTGCGGTACACGTGGCAGTCCACTTTCCACGTAATGGGTAGGCACGTGGTCTTGGGAACAGTTAAAAACCCAATCGCCACTAGCCGCATAAATCGCCCAAATTAAACCCAATCGCTACTATAATCAAATCTCAACTGCCCACTCAGCCCACTCAAACTTTTCATCATCTTCTTCGCGAGAACCTTCTAATAAAATTCTCAAGAACCCTAATTTCTTCAGATCCTCTCACTCAAATTTCTGAGAAAATGAAAATTGTTGGCGCTAATATCCATTTCCAGAAGTTGGAAGCCAAGTGCTCTTCACCAACGTTCTATCAATCCTATCTAGAGATGATTGCTGCTCAAGAGCTTTCCGAATTCCTTCATATGGAGATTCTATTCAAGTATGAGAACGAAGTTCTTGAATTCTACAAGAAAGGAAAGGTCAAGACTGTCAAATCGAAGAAGCACACACAGAGGACGATTCAAATCATCAATTCCACTATTGGAGGGACCAAAGTGAAGCTTTCGCAGAAGAAATTAGGAGAAAAGCTTCACCTTCCCAATTCTGGAGTTGAAATTGGGAGACTTCCAGCCAAGAATCTGGATTGGAATATGATTGGAATTTCTGGGCAAGTTCCTTCTGGCCCAGCGAAGAAAGCTGATCTGAACAACGACTACAAGCTAGTCCTTGAACTGGTCATCGCATGCCTCGAGTGTGGAAGTGGAGGACATGCTGATGACATCACCCAAGGGAGGGCCTTAATCATCAATTCCCTCATTACCAAGTCTAAGGCAAATTGGGCTGCATACTTCTTCAATTCCATCTCAAAGCATCTGGGAAAACCCAACCAGAAATACCTTTGTCAAGGTCTGTACATTAGACATATCTTGGAGTCCTTGGGTGCTGATTCTGAAGGAAAGAAGTATGAAGCCAGATATTGGCTATACCACCTGTCTTCCAAAGGGGAAAACAGAGCTGGTGCTAACACAACTGCAGAGCATGAAGCCTCTTCCGACAATTTTCCCATCATAAATATGAAGAAAGTAGCCAAGAGGAAACATGTGGTGTCTCCCTCTCCTAGTGTTGAAGCACCACAATATCTTGCTCTGGTTAATATGGAAGAAGAAGTTACTGCTCAAGAAGAGCTTCAAAGGAAGAAGAAGAGAAAAATCACCTCTCCCTCAACTTCTGGAAATGTCAACCCGGATGAATTGAAGGAAAAGGAACCAGTTGAGGAAAACTCTGCCCACAACCAGAGTCCTCAACAACTTGAAGAAGAAGTTCATCAAGTCCATAATCTTCCAACCTCCTCACCTCAAACAGATGATGCTGATAACCACTTCTGGCAGCTCTACTATAACTGGAGAGCTTGGAAGGTTGGAAATTCAGCAGAGCAGTTGATGGAATGGGATCAACAATTGAAGAATGAAAAGATCATCAAGAAGTGCTTGGGACTGCCAATCAACCACAGCTGTGAACAAATCTTGGATGATGACTGGGTATGGCAAAGGAATTATGAAGACTTGCATCTGGAACACTTGGCAACCACACCAGTTTCAGAATTTGAAGTGGATGATGAAGATCCTTCAGTCTACAAGCCGATCTTCTCAAAATCCATAGAAGATCAGATGATTCTCACTTCTGAAGCACAGGCTGATTTGGAAACAACAGCTAAGGATTTCCCAATCTTTCCGGAAACCTCACCTGCCTTTGTACCGGTTCTGGCTGAAGCTGACTAAGAGAATGCAGCCTCTACTCCACTAGAACAGAACCAAGAAGCATTAGAAGAAGAAATTCAGTAACCTCTCAAATCTCAAGTCCTTGAGATTCGCACAACTCCTTGTGAGATCTCCAACCTGCTTGAACTTGAGATCCCGGAGAAGTCAGGAGAAATTCTGGAGCAGTCCACTCCTCCAGAAACAAATGAAAGCCAAGAGGAGCAAGCTGTAGAAATTCAAAGGAATTCTACAGAAGCTGAAAAGGAAGTTCAAATGGCAACACTGGAGGCCCCTGAAACTCCAGTAGATGTTTTTGAAGAGCAGAATGAAGGTGAAGAAAGAGACTCCCTCTCTAGGGATATATCAAATTTTATACTTGATGAAGCAGAGGAAGAATATGAAAGGACGCTGAGGATCAATGATGAAGAAGATGTGCAAGAAGATGTTGAATCTCTTCCTATGCAACTCTTCCAAAGAACATCCTCTTCTCATCAGATAACCAACTTTCATTTCCATAGCTCTTCCATTTCTACACTTCCAGATGAAGTACCGGAAACCTGGACAAAGAAGGTCCAAGGGTTGATTGAATCAGCCCTAGCATCTCAGCATGCCTCCTTAAGGCAAGAGATAGAGCAGATGGAAGCCAGGCACAACATGCTGATTGAGAAATCTGAAGAGAAACACAGCTCAGATCTCAAGGAGATAAGCAAGTCAGTGCACAAGACTCTAGAGATCATCTCTCTATTGAGTAACTCTGTGAGCGACACAATGGAGACATATGCATCTGACAGTTATCTTCAACTCAAAGAAGTCAATAAAATCAGAGAGCAAATAGCAAATGTCATAGTTAGTCTACAGAAGCAGATGTCCCTTCTCCAAATGGACATCAGATCAGCCCTAGCAGTGTCTTCAGCAAATCAGGTAGTAACCAAAGACAACTTGAAGGTTATTATTGACAATCAGAAGGAAGCACACAGACTGTTCAGACACTTAAGCACAAGCTCTGGCAACCGCAAGATGGAAGTGATTTTTCAACAACACAGTCCATCCTTGATTCCAGAGCTCCCTATTACAGTCAAGGAAGGAGAAGTCTCTTATATTCCTTCGCATCTGAACATGACTGACCTGATCCTCGAAGCTCAGAGAACTAATCCGGAGAACTCAGCACAACATCTATCTAGCTCTGGACTTGATGGAACAGAGACTGTTAGAACCATTGTCTCCCATTTCTCAAATGATGCCCAAACAGAGGAGAGATGCAACAACATAAGGCGCATCAAAGAACTGTGTGGAAACATGCAAGGCATTAGTGAGATTGCCGGATCATCAAAGCGCATGAAGCAGTGAAGGTTTTTTTTCATCAAACCAGGGGGAAGTATGTGAAAACCTTATTTGGTTTTGATGAAAACACCTTCTCGTTTAAACATGAGTTTTAGTTTGAACATTGCTTAATAGTTCACTTAATTATGCTTATTTTGCTTGATCATATTCACTTTGAGCATGATTTTTGAGATTTACTCCTGAGCGCATACATTGAGGGGGAATATAATTCAGGTGGAACTTAACTGTTTTTGGCTAACAATTGCTTCAATTGTTTTTGGCAATGAACTATTGATAAACTCTAAGCAACGGAAGCCGGATACCTCAGTTTAAGTACTAAAATTGGAGATATCCGATTTAGGTACTATACAAAATCTGCTTTCTTAAAACTGAGATTTAATCCTTAGTTCATTTCCAACTTTGCTCTTAAGTACTGGTCCTTAGGATGTTCATAATGTACAGGACTTTGGAAAAATAGTACCACTTTTTCTTTTAAGATAAGTTACAAATTTTTGGTACTACCTCGTCCTATTTAGAAATTAGAACTATAGGGAATGAAAAATGATAGTTTTATTTTTGGCCTTGAGAACCCAATAGGAATAATTTCCCTTTAGTACATAGATATTTTTTTTGGGCCACTCTTTTGGGCTTAGCCAAACCAAAACAGTTACACTTTTCAAACCAAAGGAAACTGATTTTTAAATTTGAACAGTTTCAACACATTGGTAACTGGTAAAAGATTCCTTCCACTTCTCAACTTCTTGGAAGTTGAAACTCTTTTACTCTCACCGTTCCATCTACCCAATTAGTGGAACCCGTGAACCTCCCTCTCTCTACCTCCTCTCCTATTTAAATCAAGACATCCCAATCCATTCCTATCACAAACAACTCTTTCAATATGAAAAGTCTTCAAAATCACTGTCTGAGAAACACACCAAGAAAATTATCCTTAATGGAGAAATTTTTCTTTCTCACCCTCATAGACGGCAATGGAGAAAGCCTAATGAGAAGAAAAGACTTTCAAGGTCTATGGTGAGAATCTCGGCAGTAGAGAAGGCTTGTGGTGAAAATCTCGTATTTTTTAGGATTACACCATACACCTTCTCTGGAAACAACACTCTCCCCATCTTTGTTTCCTCTAACTCTTTTTTAGAATTTTCTCTCTTTCTTTTATTTGTGCAGTCTCTGCACCCTTTGCTCAAGCATTTTTTTTTCTTTCTCAAAATTTTTTTAAAACCTTATTTTATTTTTATTTTTTATTTTTTCAATCAATTCTCGTTTCCAAAACCTTTTTCTTGTCGTTCTGTCTTTTTTCTTTTCTTCCACCGCCGCCACCTCCTTTCCCTCCACTTTCTTTTTGTTCTTGTTCTTGCTTTTTGGAGAGATGTTGGTTCCTAGATCTCAAATATCGACTTTGGATATTAAAGATCTATCAAACGCACCGCCATCAGTACTAGCAAGCAAAATTTTCTGGAAGTCAAAGCGGCAAATGGCAGAAAATATCACAAATCTCAAGACAAGACTTGGTTTAGGAATTATTGTAATTTGAATTGTATTTGTTTAAGAGTTTTTGTTAACAAGCTGTATATTATGAGAAACTAAAAGAAAGTTATAAAATTAGTTCTCAGTACAGCGACCAAAACTTTTAAACACTTGTTTGTCATCATCAAAAAGGGGATAATTGTTGGGAAAATATTATAGATTTTGATGATGATGTATTTAGATTGTAATACAGACTTTAGGCCTCCCCCAATATTCAATGTAATTTTTCTTTTTAGAAATATTGTTAAAACCGAGTTCTTGAGATTTTCAATAAAGTTGTGATATTTCTGTAAGTGGTTTGATGCTTGAAGACTTAATCAAATTCTGTGATATGGAAATTGGATATCTTAATCAGAAATGTCAGAGACAAGTAAGGATTTCTCAAACCAGATGAAGATCCTCTAATACGGAATACTACATAATAACCGGATGTCTCGCTACAACCCGCTAAAGGCTAAGTCATTCAAATCGGAAGACTAGCGCGGATCTCTTTCTCACCCGGAAGTCTGTGAATGACTCTTCCGGATTTGTCAGCAAAAGAACCGGATGCCTCAAGAAAAGATCGGAACTCTCAGAAGCGGACAAGTGAGAAGAGACTTAGAAAAAATTCTAAGTCTTGAATGAAGAAATTCTACCCGTTGGTAAGGAAAAATCAATCTCTTGATTTTCAACGGCTAGATTGAAAATAATTAAGCTGATTCAAGAACAAATGACTTGAAGACAGAGTTTGGACCCCTCAAATTAAAGAGCTCGTCCAAAATTCCTAAACAAGCACTAGAAGACAAACTCAGTAAAGTGCTACAGTCCAGAACTCTTGAACAACAGCTAGAAGATAGATTCTGTGGAAAAAGGAATCCCTCCTCAAACAATTGGGTATGTCCAAACACCCACTCCAATGAGGAATCCTCAATCACAATCTTCATTCAAAATTGAAGCCAACAAATGCAATGGATAGTCTATTTTGATTCAACGGATAGATTATCCAATCCAGCTATAAATAGCAACCTTGGAAGATGGAGAAGGGAGAAGAATAACAAGATAGACGAACACAACGAAGCAATCTCTAACAACAAAGCTATCTCATTCACAGTTAGTCCAAAAAGCTTGATAAAGAGAGATTTCTAAAACTTCTTATCTAGAAGCAAACTTCTCCTCCTTCCAAAGAGCTATAGTGTAAACACTTGAAGGTTTCCTTGCCTCAAGTACCACACCACGTTGAAGGATATAACTTTTGATCAAACTTCTTGATTAAAAGGGGGTAGATCAACTTTCTCACAAGTTGATCTTGCAGGTCCTATTGTTCGGATCTTGCAGTTGTTGAAGAAGCGTGACCTTCGAAGGAACAACAAAGCCAGCACGAGTGCAGTAGCAACTTTGGCCTTGCGAAGATATACCGTGCAGAAATTCACACAAGTGTAATTGTTGGCTTATTATTCAGCAACCAACTACATAGTGGATTTTGAGGACGTAGAAGGATTACCCCACCTTCGAACCTCGTTAAAGTTTGCGTGTCTCTCTCTTTTATTTTTACTCTTACTTGCAATTATATTAACTGTGAAAACTAACTCATCCATATTAATTGCTGCTCATACTACCCACCAAATTCCGCACAGAATCTAAAGTTCCCAAGAACTCTAGATTTACACTATTTTCACGTTTTCAAAAGAAACGAAAAAGTTTTAAAATTGTAACAAAGTCTATTCACCCCCCTTCCCTCTAGACTTTGTATCTCACAACTTTGGGACCACCAGATTGCCTTTAACAGAGATGACGAGGAGGTGCACCGAAAGAAGCAGCGGTCCATCCCAATGACTCTCCGCGAGCTCTCGCAGGCTGTGTTCGCATTTCAGGACTCCGTGGACTTCCGCTTGAGGGGTATCGAGACCATTCTTGAGACCCACCAGTGGCAAGTTGAGGCAATCATGGAGCATGTCCTAGAGCTTATGGGGAAGGAGGCGCAGGAGCCGAAGGCCAAGGAAGAAGCCAAGCCAAAGAAACACCAGGGATTGTGAGATCCCTATTTTATCTTAATTTTCTCATACTCAATCATGTTGTAGGATCGTTTTTCTGGAACTTCCCAGTGGGTCACCCATCCTGGGACTACTCCCGTTCCAGCACTCTTAACTACAGAGTTCTGAAGTTAAAGAGGTGCCAAATGCTTCCTAAAACCAATTGGTGATGAGAAGGTGGACACTTTGTATTTAACCACATCTCTCCGTAGCCCCAAGCCGAGGTAGATTCCTATAGGGCACCCCCTATAGTTCACTACGGCAGTTCGGAGCCCCACTACTAAGCGGTGGATGGACAGGAGGGGCTTCGCAAGATACACGACTCGTGTACCTCGTCAGGTTGGGCTGTCAGTACCCGATATCGTGACTAGCACAGTAGCGAATCCCTAAGGGTGATCAATGGTCCCCCATAAGACCAACAATCTCCCCCCCAGCGACAACCGGGGGATTCGAGCCTGCTTCCTCGCTCCGATACCACTTGTGGGATCGTTTTTCTAGAACTTCCTAGTGGGTCACCCATCCTGGGACTACTCCCGTTCCAGCACGCTTAACTACAGAGTTCTGAAGTTAAAGAGGTGCCAAATGCTTCCTAAAACCAATTGGTGATAGGAAGGTAGACACTTTGTATTTAACCACATCTCTCCGTAGCCCCAAGCCGAGGTAGATTCATATAGGGCACCCTCTATAGTTCACTACGGCAGTGCGGAGCCCCACTACTAAGCGGTGGATGGACAGGAGGGGCTTCACAAGATACACGACTCGTGTACCTCGTCAGGTTGGGCTGTAAGTACCCGATACCGTGACTAGCACAGTAGCAAATCCCTAAGGGTGGTCGATGGTCCCCCATAAGACCAACACATGTTTGGTTACTTGTTCGAATTTTTCATTAAGAATTTATTTTTGTGATTGTTAAAACATTTTTTAAGTAATTTTATTCATTGATTGCATTGTTTTATGGCATGCTTATCTTTTATTTCAATCAGCATAGTGAATCCTCCAAGTGTGAGGAAAATTTAGTAATTGCATGTGAGAACACTTCAACCATTAACTCTGTCCTCAATTCACTTTTTAACTATGAGGGCGTGGTTCCGTTTAAGTGTGAGGAGGAAGAGTTACTTGTTGAAATGATCTCTTTAGAATTTGTTTTGCCTATACATGTGTGAGAAAAGGTTTTATAAAATTGTCATCAACTTTATTTGTCTAATTAAATACTTTTTAGTATCACCCGTAAAAATTGGAAATTTTTAAATTTTTTTGTCAAACTTCTATTTTTATTCTAACCTTATGGGAATAGTTTCTGAAAACTATCTTGGAATAAATTCAAATTTACTAAGAGTTTTGAGATCAAATAATTTTTATTTTGCTTTATTGGAAACATTTGCTTCTAAAAAGATTTCTTTTCAAAATGTAAAGGGATTTAAAAAAATAAAATAATAATAATAATAATAATAATAATAATAATAATCACTAGTACATATCAGGGCAAAGGCATCAGTTGTTTTGTACCTTTAGCATCGGTTTTGTACCGATGCAAATACAAGCGATGCAAATGGTCCAATTCAATTGCATCGCTTAGGAAAAAACCGATGCCTTTGCTATTTTATTAATTTAAAAAAATAGAGTATTAGCATCGGTTGTTTCTAAAAAATCGATGCCTTTGATATTTTATTTATTTAAAACAAGAGTATTAGCATCGGTTGTTTCTAAATAAACGATGTCTTTGCTATTTTATTAATTTTAAAAAAATATTAGCATCGGTTGTTTCTAAATAACCGATGCCTTTGCTATTTTATTAATCTAAAAAAGAGTATTAGCACCAGTTGTTTCGAAACAACCAGTGCCAAATCCTAATTTTTTTTAATAAAAAAGGTTTTGGCATCGGTTCTTTCGAAACAACCGATGCCAAAGCTCTATATTTTTTTAAAAAAAAATCGGCTTTGGCATCGGTTATTTTTAAACAATCGATGCCAAACCTCAATTTTTTTAGAAAAAGAAATAGGTTAATAGACAAGAATAGTAAACTAATATTAGAATAAATCATTAATATTTTATTGTATCTAATAATAAAAGCCTTTGTCCCATTGTTCCATAACCCAGTCCTGTTCAAAAAAGCACACAATGACATTAACAGCTGAAATGTACACGCATAATGAAAAATAACATCTCACTACAGAAATTGAATTGAGCATGTCATCGCAAGTCCCAAAATTGAGTGAATACCAATTTCTAACACAATCGGGTGTATAAAAAGGGGGCGAGGCGTACTTTTCTTCAAGCCCAGGTATCCCTGTCAGTGCCCAAAAACGGCCCCCAACAAGCGGTGGTGGCGGCTACCGCACCAGCTCAGACAGTCAATGGTTACCCTCCGGCACAGCAAGCGTACCACCATCTCCTCCAACAACAGCAGCAGCGGCTGCAATCGTTCTAGAACTTCCAACGCCAGGAGATCGAGCAAGTGAACGACTTCTAAAACAAAACAAAAAAAGAGATATTAACTTAGAGTACTTCGGCTCTTAATCAAGTTTCATGTTTATTAGTGTCGAAAAAACATTTCAGAGGTGTAGGGCAAAAGCAGCAAAGCTCTTCATTGGGCCTGTCGAACTCAGATTTCAAAAGTCCATAACAATTCACCAAGAAATGTGCATATTTAAATTTTTGATAAATGTTCATGTAATTTTAAATTCTTGAGATTAAATCTATGAAATTGTTGTCATTCATATTTTATTTTGTTACTTTCCTTTTTGAATCAAAAAATTTTGAGACGTGAGATGGATAAATTTGTTAATCGACAAAAAAAGAATTTGCCAATAGAAGGAAGGTATGTTTAGTTGCACTTTGCACATATCGAAGGTATGTTTACTTCACTTTGCCAATTAAAGTAGTTACTATTCCGAATTTGTTTATTTATTGAATGAATTTTTGCCCTCCCAAGAAGTGTTCTCTGGCTCCGCCACTGCCATGAATACAAAAAACGTTAGATTAATATGAAATTCTCTTTAAAAAAATCATGGAATGTACCAAGATAGAGGCCCTTCCCTGCAACTCTGCTTATTCAAGCTTGTCAACGTCTGTGTTGAAGGTGCCTATTAAAGTTTGAAGCGTATGACTATTATTAATGTTAAAATTGGATGAAACTTTCATTTCCTACAGAAGTATTATGACATTTGAAGCTTCAAGAAAATAAAGAGCCTTGTAACCCCTCGATACATCAAAGCACCCCAAGAGAATCCACTGCTTTTCCTTAAATACATAGGAATTGAATTGGAAAGCAGTAAAGAACAACATTATCATCATCTTCATCAAGAATGGGAAATTATTACCTTCTCTGGTGGGCTACGTATTCTGGTTATGTAACACCCTAATCTGTCCAGGTCTGCAGCCCCTTTCGGACTAAAGTATTAACTTGGTAATCGTAAAATTTAAAACATTTCAAACACTTTTATTTATCACAATAATATTTTCATATCATAAACAGTACAGAGTTTTCAATATTGCGGAATCTTAACAAATCATAATTACAAACATAATTTATTTATGTTCTTTAATTCAAAACATCACATCCATTCCGACAGTCTCGCCTCCGTCCGCCTCGAGGATCACGTCACATCATTCTTTCTGTTAACCTGCATGTAGCAAATAAAACATACTACACGCTCAGCGGTAAAGCTGAGTAAGCATATCTAATGCGTCGAACACCCATATAAATTTATCTCAATTCACAATCAAATCATTTGATATTATGCACATAATGTTCAGTTCAGATATTCAATAATCAATATTCAATTTTAAACATTCATTATTCAATCGTTCAACATGTATGTTCTTCATTTGTCATTCAATAATATCAGTAAACTATTCTTAGTCTAAGGCCAATCATTTTAATATTTGTAACCCTTAAATGAATTCTAGTTTAACTAATTAAAGTATATTCTGGTATACAGAGTACTCCTACTAATTCTTAAGCTAGGCCTAGTTTAAGATAAAAGGGTTTTGGAAATCTTAAACTTACCTTCACTTAAGGCCAACCAAAAACCGACAGCGTAGTTTTCACTGTTGGGTGGGTGGTACCCCAAACAAGTAGGTACTCAAGTTTGGTTCTTGGATCCCGTACATACGTTTTAACCCTAGCCACCGGGCATCATACCCGCAAGGCCTAACTTATATAGGTATATCTTAGAGTTCTTCTAGATACCTTTGAAATCAACATTAATATGGGTATATCTTAGAGGTCTTCTAGATACTCTTGACAATACATATTATTTTCACAATCATCAATATATTAATTATGATTTAATTATTCATAATTACCATCTTTAATCAAAACATTTATCAAGATTTAATCAACATAATCACCAACAAATAATCATTACCATAATCATCAACATATTCATTTTTAATCAGTAGGTTCATCAATCATAATCATCAATCAACATAACATTTAAAGCAATAACAATTAGCGGTTGAGTTTCAAGTGTTAACACCCGAACTTAGTGTCATGCATCACATAACATTTTTATTTGTTAAAAACATAATTTTTATTGTAAAGAATCATTCTTAAAATAATTATAATCAATTGGTATCAAAAATAGGATTTTAGAGCTCAAAAATAGCAATTTCAGGCAAATTTTCAGATCAGAACTTTGGGGGATCGATCCAGACCTCTGGATCGATCCATGATGTGAAAAACCACTCCCAGAGGATCGATTCAAGCCATATGATTGATCCAGACAGTGGTGTTTCAGCCACTGTTCATCTTCTTCTTCGTTCGGGTCTAATTTCAGAAATACCGTTTTTAGCTATCGAACTTCAACGAAACTATATAGAGATGTTCTACAAGGTTCATAGATCATTTTGGCATCATTAATTCATAGTTTTAACATCAATTTCATGGTTTATGATTCTTGGTTCTTCAAGCATGTCAAACACAAAACTCAACCAAACGACCGTTTATGAACGTAGAAACGATCTATATAAACATTCTAGTCACTAGATATATCTACGGGCTTACCTCGAAGATAAATGAAGGTTTTGAATATTTTCCGGCAAAACTTCCGGCGACGATTACTCCCAACTCCGGCGACCTTTCACCAATATGATAGCACCACTGTGTTCTCCTCACTCCGAGCAACAGAATTCATATGAGAATTGTGAGAAATGATGGAGAATTGAGGGAGTGAAGGTGGTCTTATAAAGGGAAGGAATGGAGGAAGAAACCAAACAATGCTGCGTAGGATTTGCGTAGGAACGTATCTTCGATCGGCTGAGTGGAGTAGGAGGCGCCGTCCCTGATTGTGACTAATTTTAATTCAAGTCGGGGTACACTTTTTGGTCCAACTTTCTCCGAATTGAATTCCGTTTGCACCTTCGTGACCAGACAGTCAAACTCTATTTAATGATATACTTTTTATATTTACTTGTAATACTTTTTCCAACATCATATTTTTGGATGTTTGACTTTGACAGAGTCAAAATTGGTTTAATTGACTTTTATCATAAAAGGTTCTCACATTAAATTTATTCTCATGCTTTATTTCAAGAATTCATTTCAAAGTTCATTTAATAAACAAATTCTCTCTTTACTCTTAATTGGATATCAAAACCCATTTTATTTCGGCCCAAAGGCGAACAATAATTTATTTTAATCAAAACAAATTTGATTAATTGAATATTCAATTCAATAAGTTTTAGGGTATATTTCGGGGCGTTACAGGTCAAGTCATGTTCTTCATTTCTTCAAGCTCTTTTTGGTAGTTTTCTTGTTGCAGAAAAATGAAACATCATAAAGAACTCATCTTGAAAATGCATATTAACAAACAAATGAAGTTTTAATTTCAAACTAGTGGATCAAATATAATCATACCGGAGAGTTAATGTGGGTTGAAGACCCCCAATACTTGAGAGCTGTTAGTCGGTTTAGACGTTGTGCCCACGCCTTAGAGGGGGGTGAATAAGGCATTTAAAATCTTTTCAGAGTTTGATAAAAACGGTGTTGGCAAATGCGGAAGCAATATATAAAACACAAAAATAAAAGCGTAAATAAAATGCACACCGAATTTATAGTGGTTCGGGAACTCCCTACTCCAGTACCTCGAGCCTCCTCCTCAAGGATTTCTGAATCCACTAAGTCTCGGTCTCTTGAACTCCGTCAAAGCACCATACTAGTTTGGCAAACAACCCTTGCCAATAGGATTCACTCCGAGATTTCACCACGGCTATCTCGAACCGTTTACAATGAAGATTTAACGGCTATCCTTGAACTTTTACCCAAGGATTTATACGACTATCCTTGACCGTTACAACGTGTGAATATAAAAATGAGGAACAAGTCTTAGCCGGTGTAGAACTAAATTATACTCTCTCAAAAATACAATACAAACTTTTGAATATGAGAGTATATAACTAGAAACACAAGCTCAAAGTGTGTGTATAAAAATCAGGAATTTAAGGCTCTTAAAATAGCCAAAATATTGAAAATATTTAATAAAAGGATGAACACACTTAGAATAAAAAGAGAGGATGTTTAGAGCTTTTTTCTTGTAGAAATATGAAGGATTAGGCTCATATTTATAGTGGAAGATGTTAATTAGTCGTTGGGAGGTGATTAGGGTTGATTTAATTCAAAATCTCAAATCAAAAACAGTAACCCAACCGTCACAGTAGGGGGTACCGTGAGTGGCGGTACCTCGGTACCGTGTCCCACTAAAAATCCATTCGGCTCTGGTGGTACCTGGTTAGGACGGGTTGGTCCAACCGTCTCTGCCTATCGTCGGTACCCAGGTACCATTACACAGTATGGGGGTACCGTGTAGGCGGTATACCCTACCGTTTGGGGTACCGCTAGGGGTACCGTGACTCTGTTCTGATTTTTCCAAAATTCTCTTAATCCTCCGTGTTTGAGTTTAAAACCTTTTAGATGTTTGAAAATGTTTATGGGATGGTTTTAGACATATTTTTTGAGTGCTTTTGAGCTTGTGAGTATAGCTATATAAAGTCATATCCTCACATTGGTTTCTACCTATATTCTACGCTAGTTTAGTGTTTCGACTTCATTCTTGAGTACCGAATCTTAATGCATTCTTGTTTTTCCTGAAACACTTTGTAACGCCCCGAAACATACCCTAGAATTATTATTAAATAATTATTCGATTAAACAAATTTGTTTTGATTATTATTGGGCTTTGGGCTGATATGAATTTTTTTTTTATCCAATATAAATATCTGGATAAGTCTAATTGAGATAAATCCAATATGTGGACTATTTGTGTGGTCTTGATTAGGAACCTGAGTACAGACCCAAATCAAGAATAAATAAATTAATTAATTATGATGTAAACTTTGAAATGATTTATTGAAATAAATCATGAGAATAATTGATATGAATTAAATGAGAGAACCTTTTATGAGAAAGGTCAATTAAACCAATTTTGACTCTGTTAAAGTCAAACACCCAAAAATATGATGTCGGAAAAAGTATTACAAATAAATATAAAAATTATATCGTTAGATAGAGTTTAACTGCCTGATCGCAACGGTGCAAACGGAATTCAATTCGGAGAAAGTGGGACCAAAAAGTGTACCCCGACTGGAACCAAAATTGGTCCCAATCAGGGACACTGTGCGAACGGCGCCTCCTTCCCCACTACGCCGATCGCAGAGTCATAGTTGTTTTCTTCCTCTCCTTCTCATTATATAAGAAAAACCCAACCCTTCTCATTTCTACACCATTCTCTCTACTTCTTCTTCCATTGTGTTCTTGAGAGTGTAAGGAATATTGTGGTGCTGCCAATTTGGTGTGAGGTCGCCGGAGTTGAGAGTAATCATCGCCGGAAGTTTTGCCGGAAAATATCCAAAACCTTCGTTAAGCTTCGAGGTAAGCCCCTAGATATATCTAATGACTAGAATGTTCATATAGGTCGTTTCTACGTTCATAAATGGTCATTTGGTTGAGTTTTGTGTTTGACATGCTTGAAGAACTAAGAATCATAAACCATGAAATTGATGTTAAAATTATGAATTAATGATGCTAAAATGATCCATGAACCTTGGAGAACATTTTTATATACTTTAATTGAAGTTTGGTGAGTAAAAGTGACATTTCCGCAAGTTGGCTCGAGGTAGAAGACGATGGATAATCGATTATCAACTTGAAAATCGATTATTCATCGTTCTGCAGATTTTTGTAACAAAGCT